ATGCCTTTTTATTTCTATGAGTTCTTCTTAGATGCTTATAATTTTAATCCTCCTATCCAGAAGGGAGGATAATAAGACATTACCTAAACATGTTTAGTAAAGTTTTAAATCTTCAATTTTATTTGCTCTTAAATTTATCGTTCGAACACAGATCAGACGTTGGGTGCTGGTATTTTTGCAATGTATTTGGCATAAAATTTCTCGTTTAAAGACGGAGGGAAATGATTTCCTTGAAAATATTCCAAATTATACGGCTGTAGGTTCTATGAGATTGTGTTGTTGCAGTTCTATAAGGCGAAAATATTTAGAACTTTCAAGATATGGCCAAAACACTGTTATGGAGCAGAGTTCTATGTCATTTAATTCAGTCATGTAATTTTGTCCTTGTATGTAACTTAAGCTAGGTCTTTTATTGTGTTTAGAATTAGTTTTATAATTCCGTTTCTTCAGTACCATGAAAATGAAGTCGATATTAACTTTTTGTGTGTTAGTAGAGAAAAACTACCAAATGTTTGATGGCCATATCCATTTAAATATGGAACTTTCCGGAGTGTCATGACATTTTGTCCAATAAACGTATTTTATTGTTACAACTAACCGTATAGTCTTCAGTATTCACTTGTCTTTTGACCACTGTACCAGTTATAACAGTTAATTTTAATCTTTAATCTGTGGGTGAAATTTATGGTATTTCAACCAAGCGTTGCTGTAAAAATGCAAATAAATTGTTACCTCAATCGTCACTCAATTTTCCCTAGTTGTGCATCTACTAAATGTAGTGGTGGTGTCCGATATATTTTATTGCTTTTCCTCATAATGTAACGGCAGAATAGTTAGCTGGTTTGATCCCTTGTCTATACCATTTACTCGAGATGTTAATTTAGCTTCATCCCTCTAGTCCTTGATATAGAGTCACATTAGAAACACAGATAGACATGGTACAATGTGCAAACCTACGTTGTTCGTGGCTTCAATGATCTCTATCAGGAGACATTTATACTTCGTCGAACGCGGCATTTTCTTCCACAGTTTCGAGATGTTCATTCAAAGCTAATGACAGGATGAGTATAACTAGCTGGGTCTACATGAGCTTTGGCTGGAGCGAATGTAATATATTGCTCATTTCGACCCGTCCCACACTTTAACTTATAATTTTAACTTTGAAGTTAAAGTTAGTTAGCCTAAACCTTGATAATTAAACGAAAATATGTTTATGTGCGAGATCAGTGCCTGTCCATGTGTGCTATCTAGGTTATTGTATGCTATCAGAGTGAAGTATACAGTGATAAAAACCTAGTGTCCAAAAATCTTTAATGATATGGTTGAAAGAAGATCACCATGTTAATACATTTACGATTTATTTTTGATTCTTGAATATTTTACTATTTTGTACTTATTATTCCCCATTAAGTTGCAATAATTTGCTAGTTAATTGCTTTCTCTTAAAATTACTCTTAATGATCTTTTTATATCGGTAAGAAATGCGACAATTTGAATTAACAAATTATTTCGTGAAATTCTTCGTTAATTGTGTTTTTTTGTCGGATTTTAAAGCACTTATAAGATAGAGAGAACGTTCGAATTTTAGCCGTATTGAATCCATTACTGAAATGTCGGTTTACACTACGTTATTATGGAAATATTGAGATTAGGGTAAATTCGATTGGACTTCTTCAAACTATCAAAACATTTTCGATAGTTACAGAAACACTGTACAAAGCTAAAGGTAAGTTTACCACAAAAAAACTTTCTTATTTTCATAAAACATTTAAATCTACTTGTTGGTTGAATATCAGAAACGTTATTGGATGCAACTAACAGGCCATAGTCAGTTATGTAAATGATGGAAACCAACTTAAGTTGTTCGGAGTCATGTTGACTAGCTCCAATTGTTTTTAAAGTAAACCGTGAAAATTCTGTAATTCTACTTTTTGGAAAAAAAAACGTATTAAATCGCAAACAACATTCTCCGGAATTAACATGGATTTTTATTTTTGTTTGTAATAAATGGTAATGCTGATTACCCAAAGTGTTAAATAAATCAAAAATAAGTTTATATTCTTTCTTCATAAATTGATTATACTGATAGAACCCTAGCATTGACTGTTATCACACTGCATATTTTTACATTTTTTAAACAGTTTTTATTATCAACTCAAGAACGGTCACTTGCTGCTGGTTCATATGCTGTTGGAAAGCATATCACATTTTTAAGTACTGGGAGAAAAGACGAAGATCAACTAGCTAATATGGTTGTAGCTGAGTTTCTCCGGCAAAACACACCATATGTCAGTTTGATTGAAGGTGGTTATACAGCTTTACATGAAGTCTTAGGTACTTATGAAGTTGGTAGGAGTTTAATTGGTCATGAACCTACAATATGTTTAGGATGTATTGGAGGAAAAAACTTTGTACCTTTATCAACTTCTGATAGTAAAATGGAGTCATCATGTTTAATAAATGAAAAAGCAAAAGTACAACCAGTTAACTCTTCGAGTGTTGGTTTATTCTCTAAATTCTCAAATGCAATATTTAATACTGGCCGTAGTTTGGATCAAGTACCAAAACTTTTGAAACTTTCAAGTGTAAGTTCAGTACCAACAACAACAATCAAAACTGATACAACCCCTACATACCAACCTGTTCAGAATAAAGAAACAAAAAAACCCGTTGCTTACAGAAATACATCATCTGTATTCAGTATTGATGATGACTATGACGAAGATGATCTATGTGATGATGAAGCTGAGACTATTACAAACAGTCCCAATTATACAGAGAAAGAAGCAAAAAATGCGACGTTATCTGAACAGTCAACTTGGTTAAAACGTTTTGTTAAAGCATCTACACATGTTGCACCTGACATGGATGGGGATTTCCCCCCTCGAATTGATGGTATGGACAGCTGTGAAGTTGGCGATTTAATTGATACTACCAGGTGGTCTAGACGGCCAGAAGTAAGAGGTGTATTTAGTACCCGATTTATAAGGCCTAATGGACAATTAGGCGATAGTGGTTTACTTGTTTTAGCAGAACGTCATTTAATTTTGTTGCGTCATCCAACCCCTCGACTTCCTAACCAACTCATTAACTCTCTTAGTTCTACTTTACAGTCTGTTTTTAACAAAAAGAATCCAAAATCATCTGAATATTCGGCTATTCAAAAACCAACTACAGATCTCCCGAAATATGCTGTTGTTTATCGATCAATTCCCTTATCTATGGTAGTGAAAATCACGTCAAATCGTCGTTTCCCGGAATGTATTACATTTCACTACTGTCCACATGACGAAGGCGATATGCTAAAACTAAACGATCAGTCATTATTTAGTATGAAAGATCGATTATATATCAATAAAGCAGGCGAAGCAGTGAAAATGGTAAAAACTGCCATCTTTACTACTGTTGCATCATTGGAAACGTAGTATTACTCATATTGCGGTCTTGTTTTATTATTTTCTTTGTACACTATGTGTTTTGCACTGATGATTTTATTTATATATATTTTTTCTTATGTCATCTGTCAATCAGGAAAGTTGGATTTTGAAAGTAAATTAAAGTTTTTGTTTTTCGTACATTTCTTCTAATTTGAACAATAACTTTTTGTTTTGATTACATAAAACTGTGATGTTTAGGTGAAAAATAGTATCTAGATAAAAATTTTAGCACTATTCTTTCAATCACCAATGCACTTTCTCGTCATATCACTGTAATTATAGTTAACCTTATTCACTCTCTTACCTTCAAGGTTAAAGTCTCATTTTGTTCATATTGAAGTGTTTTTATTTGGGATTATCAAAGGAGCTGTGCATTAATTTTTTTTCGTTTAATTTAACTAATTTTTACAAAACAGATTGTCAACCAGATGAATCTCTCTCTCTCTCTCTCTCTCTCTATATATATATATATATATATATATATATATATATATATATATATATATATATCATGTTCTGAATTCCTGAACATATGTGGTGAGCCTGTCAGTGCTGCAAAAGTCACACCATAAAGATAAACTGGGTGAGTTTCAATGCAATCATCCGTCTAAATCAAAAAAGGAAGGAAAAATTAAAGCGAGTATATGGGTGATGGTGCCTGTTCTAGGGGAAGTTTCGATAGTTTGCCAGTCCACCAAATATTTTCATCGACAGGTTCACTTAATATCAGTCAAAAGTGCGCCAGAGATCTCAGGCACTCAACTGTTAGCAAACTCTTCTGTGGTTTTAAAGATACTAAAAATGCACTCATCAGAAAAACTTGTATTGGATCAATCGTTCTCACTTTGGGATTCTCAATAGCTTCCGTAGCATCAACAAGCTGATTCGCTAGTGTACACACTCTTTAGAAACACTAAATCAGCTAAAAGTGGCGAGAGTGAATATTGGAGATGATGACGAACAATGTTTAACAAAAATGATGTCATTTGCAATGCAACTTCACGGTTTCCTGTCTAACTTCTAATGAAACACTAAATCAGTTAAAAGTGGCGAGAGTGAATATTGGAGATGATGACGAACAATGTTTAACAAAAATGATGTCATTTGCAATGCAACTTCACGGTTTCCTGTCTAACTTCTAATGAAGGGCGCTAATTTCGCACTAAAGAAACTTAGTTTTATGTCTTAGTTGTGTTATGTTCAAGTTAAGTAATCCTCATTACTATACGAATTTAAGTTGTTTGCAAGATGCGTTAAACTTCATCTGACGAAAGGTAGTGTGAAATCGAATACTAGACAACTGTCTTCATGTTCGCCTAGTTCAAATATGTCACATTTGTGCGAGCATATCAAATTTCGTCGGCTAACTCGTTATATCGTATGCACTACGCTTCAAGTCTGCTTGATATGTATGAAGTGTTGCTAGAAATAATGTTCCAGTCGTATATGAAGTATTGTATATTACATTTATATTTTAGGTAAGGGAAAGAGACAAAAAAGGCAAAGTTGTTCAACAAATTTCAGAAATATATAAAAACAAATAATTCCACAGATAAGATTTAATCAAAAGACAAATGCCCCATTTCCATTTGACGATTCCATCATCTTAGTAAATGGTTTCTGACTATCTTCACGAACTCGTAAATGTGTTCTAAGTAGGATGTGCTCCAAAACACCAGTTCTGATGTCCATCGTAGTAATCTCTGACTTAAGACGCTGAAGAGCTTGTTTAATACGCACTACAGACGAACTGTCTGTCATACTCAAGCCTTTTTCGTCCATCTCTGTTTTGACACGTTCCAGTTCTTCACTGATTTCAGATAAAGTACGACTTCGAGTAGTGATTCCGCCACTTGCTTCTCGATACTTGGCATTTATATCATTTAAGTTATCCTATAATAAAAATACAAGTATAAAAAGATCATATATGTAGCAGTATTAATAGTTTGTGAAATACTGTCTTTGAGTATACACATAAAACTCTTGTTTGTAGTGCTCACGAAATAAGTTATCTTTAAAACAGTACTTTTCGCAATATTAATTGTATGCATATTCCAAGTATTCATTATTAGCCAACAGTATTTACATCTCCCTTTTTAGAACATTCAGTAATTTTTGTCATGATTTTCATGAGCTTCTAATGATATCACTATTTTGACGTTTCTAATTGGTATCGTATTGTAGTAAACTCATTACGTTTTTTAATTCCTATATGCTGTAATTTAGACAATTAGTTCACTGTAAAATTATGTTTGGGTCTGATTAAAAGCATGTCTACACCTCAATCTTTGTCTATCCTCGTTGGTTGTAAACACAGATAACCGATAACTTTACCTACATATTGATTAGCACAAAATACATAGACATGCTCCGACTTCTCACTTACTTCCCAGTGTGCTTGCCGCTTTCGTGTTTGTAGCTTTTACTAATTAATAACAATACACTCACAACAACTGGTGTTTTGGCTTTTGAATATTCTCGAGTAAATTAATAGTGCTGTCAGAATAACTGGTCTGCTAAAATACACAGTTAACAGGATGTATTTCGAAGTCAAATTGGGAGAAATCGACCTCTACAGTATACTATACATTTGAGTTAAAAGTTTACTTACAGGAAATTTCGATTAGCGTACACCTCATACTCACATTCTTCGAAATAATTTATAACACTGAAGTTCCCGCATAATAACTGACAGAAACGTTGGGATTATGAGTATTTCAAAGCTAAGACTTTGCTTTCCATTGTATCAATATTTAAAGCGTAAGAAATACGTTGCGATAGGTCTTAGCGACCTTCAGTCAATGGACAAAGCAATGACTGAGTCTTAGCGGTAACAGTTGCAGCAAATCGATCGTAAAGGGTTTTTTCATGCATTCAAGTCACGAAAGTTAGTATGTAAACTATCTTATAAGGTTCAATTACGTAATGCGCTACGATGGATGATTTTAATAAATTACCTCAACGAGAAATGTAAGTTGAGAATGGGACTAAACTTTTGTATCTTCAGTTTTCTTTTAATTCAACATATTCCTAATACTGCTGAGATAAGTGCTTCATATTCTTGAAATTTTTATTGTGAAATTTTAAGATTATACAATTCTAACGAGAATTACTCTCAGTTTGTTCACTTATCAACCAGACTTCTACTCAGATAATTGGAATGGTGGCTTAGTCTTTTTGTCACCCTACTTTCAACTACTGACTCGCTAATTCGAATTAACGTATGTCTTTGGATATGAATAAACCAGTATAAGAACCTGTATATATGTATTGAGTTACGTTAGCTATATTACGGTTATTGGAATCGTATGCACTAAACTCCAGCATATATACGTCTAAGTTTGCATTGGTTTACTATTAGTTTGTGACCAGTTAGCGGAAAAATATCTTTCCGAAATGTAAATTGCAGGATTCAGTACGTATTTTCATAGTCAGCCGTTGTAGGTGACAAGGTTCCAGGACTGATTAAAAAAATCAACTGATTGTTTGACTAGGAGGTCTGTTCTCTGTTCCGGTTGAACAACTCAAGGCAATATGAAAAGATCTTAGGAGCCTACCTGTACAGTTCTGTATTGCGCCAACAGAGGCCCCACTTGATTATTCATATACTTCTCTCGGTTATTTATTTTATCGACATCTGAATTCAGGTCATCGTGTAATCTGATTAATTGGGATTTAGCATCCTGAAAGGTAGTTTCGATTTCCATTATCAGCTGCTTCATTTGATCCAGATGAGTTCTCCAGTCTTTGACATCGCTGCGAACATTGACACGTAGTTGTGGTAATATTCGTTCAACTTCAAGTTTCCAATCTGCTGGGTCTGTAGAGCATTCTAAGACTGCACGATTATTCGGTCTTTTCTCATCTATTTTGCCTGCAGGTTTAAGTTCTGTCTGTTTTTCAGTCAAATCTGTTTTATGACTTTGGTTAGGTTTTAGATTAATTCCTATAATTAATAATGAATAGTCTTTTAAAGATAACAGATACAATCAACTGATGAGTTGTTACATAACGGAATCTGATTTACCCAGTCTTTATTATGATCTCAGTACGTGAACTTTATTTGGAGTCCAGTGACATATCTGTCAGGAGATGCTTTACTCCATAGTTCACACGTTTTAAAAAATATGATTCCATATGAGTACAGTTTTTACATTTTCACTGACAAATTAACTTGTACATAACTATACACCATCACGATTATAATTTTGGTCACAAGTCGATTAATTTTATCCTGAGATCGTCAAGATAAATCTTTGAGAAACGTCTACATAGAAATGTTTATAAATCAAAAATCATGTGGCCTGAATAGTTTATTTCTTATTTTATTGATTTGGATTTCGTATATTATCACTGAAATGTTAATGAAGAAAAGGATGGATATACGATTTGTAAAAAAATGTGGTGTAGTCAATGCATGCTTTTGTTTAGGAAAAATGAAAGTTAGGAAAGTTCTCAACATCATGAAACCCGTGAAATGCGGTAATAGTTCCTACAATATTGTTTTGCTAAATTTCGGACTACACAGTCTTAGTTTGGCCATTACTAAAGAAAAACTTTTAATTTCAAAATGAAGAAACGGTAATTTACCTTTTAAGTCAACCACCTCTTCATCATCGTCATCATCACTTTGTTCCTCACAATTCCCTAGCCTGTCGCAGTCTGACAGACTATATTTGAATCGACTACCGATTGAAGATCCGACCCACTCTTCTGTTTCTTCGTCAGTTTGCGATGATTCACCGTCTTGAACACCAGACTCTTCTACTTCATCTTCTGGATATTCAGGTGGTAGGAGTTTAATGTTTTGAACCTGCAGGCTTGCGTCGGCCAACATGTTAAGAACATTAATGCAATATTCACCACATCCACTTTTCAGTTTTAAAGGTGGGAACTCTACAACATATCCTAGAGTTCTGATAGCATCTAAAATAGTTGATATTGTTGCATTCGGATCGTCGTATTCTTGCGGTTGGTCAATTTTACAGTTTGCCTGTGAAATCAGCCACGCAGCTAGGGTAGTGAAACAATGAAATTGTTCACCAGGATTAGTAGGAATTGCAAAATAATGTCTTGTGATAGGTTTTTGATGTCGTCGCCTACCAATGACTTATTATTCTTAGATGTGATTACTTGCAAAATTTTTTCTCATAATTCAGTAGTTTGAGTTTTTCACTCAGACTTTCCATTTGTGCAAAAACTGCATACTGATACTTTTGTTCTTCACTATGTTCATTGCTTTTAGCTTTTTCTCGTGACATCTATGGTGGAAAAAAACAACTAGTTTATTCAATTATTGAGTTTGATATATCAAATTAAGTATCAAAATTACGTTAGTTAGATAATTACAGAACCTTATTATCCCCGTAAAACTAGGATAATTTACTAAAATTGTGACTAACAGCTAACTTAGAATCAAGTAAATAAGATCTTACTAGGGACACACTATCCTCACGATAATGGTTGTAAGTAAAAGCACATTAACTCATTGTTGAAAAGTTGAAAATTAGATAGTTACATAAATGTCAATAGTGATAATCATGTGCGTAATTAAATAAATTAGGGATTGAGAACCGTATAACGATTTATTTTCTAATATTTGATAACTAAGAGTTTATCTGATGCCGAATAAGGTTTGTACTTATCAAAAATAGTCTAAAACAAGTAAATTCTACAGATTTGTAGTTTTCACCGTGTGAAAGGTACTCATTTTTAAACCAGGAATAGTAGGCTAAAACATTTTTGGATAACTCAGGTGACTAGCATATTTTGAAAACCATCTAGTAGAGACCAATACATTCGCCGTTATATTTTGGTTCCAATCTGACAGAAGCAGTTTTCGGTTAGGTATCTAATAAAAGAAGGGTCCATGAATGCAAATAACTTTATCAATGAAAAGTATTGAGTTAATATTATCGTGAAACAATGTGGTCAAATCTGAGAAAAATATGCATTGGCTGTGATTAAATTAGGTATTTTATGTATCCATATTAAGATTATTTATTCATAGTTAAATATGGCTCAAAAAATGGGAGTAAAAGAATTCCACAAGCTTAATTAATTATCGAGCATGAATTAAATGATATGATTATTTTCTAAACCTTATTTTAAATGTCATATTTTGCATAATTGTTATTTCATTCCATTAATATTTACTGATTTTAATAACACGTTTTAATTCCACAACACTCATTCCATGTTTTGATACCAATCAGTAATTTATAAATTCCAAAGTAAATCACTTTCTAATTTTCTGTGTCCGATTCATTTAACTAGACACATTCATTGAGCTTTACGTCTTTGTGAGCATAGGTATCATTTTCAATAATTTGTTACCACCCTGAACGGCTCATTCTTATGCTTGGTTGTACGTGGTCCCATCTACCAGCGTAATTTGTACTTATGACCAACACTTTACAAGGCATAAATGGTTATAAAGCAAATATATCCGTATCATGGCTTATAAAGTTTCAATTATTATATATCAGGTATTTATCAAGTAATCCGAAAGTCAATGTCTGACATAAAATTACTTATACTCATCAACAAGCGCTAAGGCTATTCATGTCTTTGTAATATAGTAAAATGTTTATCAGTAGGTTGCTAGAGACAAGCATGGTTATATAATCTGAACTTTAGTGTTGACTATGTTTGATGGGTTTAGTTCGTGATCTTAAAGTTATATCAGATAGCGTAGTCGATGAATCTAGGTATCTTACATCTTTTACACCAGACGTCAATGTGGAGCAGTTTTAAGATGCACTCTTACATTTGTTATGTGAAATATATGTTCGACACTTAAATATTTGCGAAATGTGCTCAGTGAACTGCGTCCTGGAAATGATGAATGTTTTTTAGATATCCTAAATTGAACGACAAATCTGCGGACAAGATGTGAATTCATAAGAGGCGTTTGAATAATTTGAGTGAACTCGAACAAAGAAACGTCATAGGTAAAAGTTTTCCATACATAACATAGTATTTAGGAAACAAGTTCTTAGGCTGCCAAAATGGTATAAACTATAGATGTTTGATATTTCGTTCGGTTACCAGTCATAACTCACATATATTACAAGAGTCTAAGTACCTGATGGAACAGTACTTGTGTTTTGAGGCTGGTATACTTATATACAGTATAATCTAAATGTTACTCAAAAGCAACGACTATAAATCTTTACACTGGTGTCCTAATAAGATACATATGTAATAAACGCTTCGTAATTAAGAAGGTCTAACTGAGACGATGCATGGCTTACTTCTATCAGGCTCACGATTTTCATGTGCTGTGTAATAACGCTAAGACATTTCGGTCGTATCTTTAGTACATTTTATGGGATTATGATCTTTACCTTTTGTTTATTTACCGGTGGCATCAAAGAATTGTGCCTAAAAACGATAATATAGAAGGATTGTTCTATTTACGAAAATTGACGAATGCTAATTACCTCCAACATTAATAGGAAAGTCTGGGATGATGTTTTAATAATATAACGCATAAACTCAGTGACCGGTCAAACTACTAGATCACTTCAATTGGTAACAAAACAATTGAGCTAGTCTCTTCAAAAAACTATCGGGAAAGTAATTTTACTTAAAGCAGAACTAAATTCAAATGATCATAGTGTAAAATGGTTACCGATAATACTTGTTGAAACATGCGTATTTTCTCCAGATTCATGATTAATTTTAGTGTGGGATCACATACGCACTAATACAAGTTTGGAAAAATGTAAGATGGGATCAAGTTATACACTAGGCCATGACGATATATATAGTTAGGACAGAGCTACAGGCTATAAATACAGGGTTTTTGGAACGACGAATATAAACCAGAAGTGATAGAAATCTATGGGTTTATGATTCTAGAATTGCAACGAGCCTTCCCGTATAATTCCATTTTCCAACCACTAATGTATACACAGGAAAAAACACTAACAATTGTGACATTAGTAACCGTATTAATCATACTGTACGTATTTTGTGGCCAGCTATTCACTTTCGTATAGCATACACTTCAGTGTTTATGTCAGTATTTTTGTGTCCATATTTTTTAGTCATTGTATACTAACTATATAAGCTGAGTCACTTTCAATTCACTGATATTAACCAAAAAGGCCAATTTACGACTACTTGTACTCTGCGTAATGTTCTTTTATTCGTTTTTATCGTTTATTTGTAAAATAATGTCCATGGAATATGTAAACCTTTAGTACTACTCATATTTGAACTTTTTGTTCTTGTCGTTTTTAAAAATATCAGCTTACGAAATGTATGCATGGAGCTGGTAAGGATCTTTGTTTCATCATTGTCGTCGTTACCAGTCGGAGTCAAAATTGACTATAAAAACTTGGCAGCATAATCATAACCATGGTGGTGGTAAATATCACTATAACTACGAGTTTCCCGATATATTTGTTTGCAGTAAGTTGTTATAACAACTGATTTCGATAACTTGAACTTACGTAATAATGTAGATGGGCCGTCTATTTCAAGGAAATCTAGTCAATAATTATGGCCTACATTAAGACGCATCGCTATCCCTAGTTTTAGAGGTATATTCATCATAGGTATCTATGGAGAGAATACTAAGCCGACTAACTTTGATGAAATATCTGAGGACATCATTTCTGAATTAAAAGAAATGAGCGATCTAGGGCTGAATATTGTTAGGTACAATAAATACGTAGCTATTAAACTAGTCGCTGTAGTCTATGACGCACCTGCTCATTAAGATGTTAGATACACAGTTAACCACAATATAAAATTAGGCTGCGATAGGTGTATTGCAGTAAGCCGTCGCCTTGACGGGAGAATGAGGTTTCCAAGTGATGAATATACATTGCGATCTGATGACAGTTTTCGCCAGCAGAGCCAATCAATTCGCTATCAAGACCATTCCAATTTCGGGACACTTGCCATTAACATGATTTCTGCATTCCATTTAGATCCAATGAACATTGTATACTTAGATGTGGCAAAGAAGCTAATCAGTCTATCGATAGATTTCTATCACAAAAGAATTATAAACACGAACAAATGTGTAGTTACGGATATAAATAAGTTAATCTCAAGTTGTGTTGAAAATCTTCCATCAGAATTTCAGCGTAAATGTCGGGCATCAGACTTCTTCCCAGTATGAAAAGCGACAAAATGTTCAGTTTTCCTTCTTTATTCAGCCTTCGTTACTCCTAAACATTATTTACCATTACCGTTATACCTGAATTTCAAGCTTTTAGCACTAGCGATGTATTTGTTAGCGCATCCCACCTTACATAACAGAGCAACGGATTTATTATATCTTCATAAAGAATATGAATAATGGAATGGAACTGAATATCTAGTTTATAAAGTGCATTTGTTGAAACACCTTTGTGATGACGTTCGTTCACATGGAGCTTCAGATTCTTTTCATTCTTCCCATTTGAGTCCTGTATTAGACAGATTGAAAGATTGGTGCATAGCAGTTATACTGTAGCAAAACGAGCAGTTCAGTGTTGGGGGGAAATATCTTTATGTGGTAGGCTGTAAGCCAGCGTTTCTGCCCACATCCGTCAAGTCTAGTCACAAAAACCAAATAACGCTAAAGAACACTAGACTAAATCCGTTTGCGCCCGATAACGTTATTATATTACACGGTAAACATGAGCTAGTCATTGGTAAAGGGGAAAACGGAATAATTAAATCTAGACAATTTATTGTTACATGGGATTACTTCACTAAACATTTCCTTCTAGTGACATAGGTATATCTATGTGCTTGATAGTTATTCATGAGTACATATGAATTTCAATTAACGGTGTAAACTGTAAATGTATTTCCGTTAACCGTCTTAATAATGTAGATTTGTTCATTGCTAGATACATTCACGTGAACCGCATTTTTGTCTTGCTAATAATATTACTTCAAGTTCATTCCTAACCATTTTGTAGTTCGTACTTAACGATGTACCAAGCAAGAGGGAGGTCCTAATTGCAGCTAGAAAGTGGAGTGTATGTAAAGAACTTTTTTGGTATGCTACCGACTTGCAGAACAAAGCCCAGTCAGACAATAATTAGTTACTTCTTATGTACAAGGTCACCCACTACTGTGGTGACTTATAAATACAGTGTCATTCATTTGCTATAGATAGTTTACAGACTGAAAAAGAGTTGTTTATTAGTTCAATAATTTGGCTGATTACCATGCTAGTAGTTTGATGGATGAAAATACCTAACCACTAAACGCAGAGAAGCCGAAAACGTCAGTACAGTAATTTTATTAATATTTTGCAGAGGTGAATCGAAACGGAAAGAAGAGTTTCTGTATAATTTCGTTGACACGTGTGTGGCTAAAATAAGGGCTGGAAACAACCGTGTTCAATATTCTAAATCCAGGATGCTGGGCACTATCATATCACCGGCTGCGAAGTAGGCAGTTTTAATTGAAAATGTTAATAAACTAGTTCAACACAGTAAATGTATCACCCTCAATGTCCGAGTGAAAGCGTATGAGCAGTGCGTTAGGGGCCGAGTAAGTTACGTTTCCAATTTAAGTTAATGCTCAGGATTCGATGAACCACATGCTGTTCTGCAAAATATGCCATCAGCTTTATCAGACTTGAGTGCAAACATTAGGCAGTTGGTATTTAAGTGTAATGGATGTGACCATTCACGAAAACATGATACTGAACGAGCAAGTTTGCAGTTCCCTTTGTCATCCGAAGAGCAACTGCGAAAATCGGATGCATGTCTTCAGAAAGAAGATACGAGGTGCAAATCTGCAAGTCCACTAAATTTATTTGATTAGTCAGTCGGCAACAACATAGAACTTCGTACGTACGTACATCAATTCAAGTTGCCATACCGCATTAGCACAGAGATACAATTTTCAATTCAAATCCCGTAGTGGTAAATGTAGTATGAGTATAAGCAGTAATCGGAAACATTTTGCTAAAGTGCTTGAAATCGCGACTCAAGGGTATTTTCACATGATACAAACTACAAAAGTGTCACAGAAGAAAATAAGAACATGAGTGTATTAATCTAAAGTTATAAATTTTTATTGTTGTTCTGTATGTGCAGTGGTCAATATTAACGAGCATAACTGTAAGTCATACTCCACGTCGACAGTCATCTAACAAACTAAGATAGTTGAAAATCGTTGCAAGTTTTTGTGTTTATTAAATTTCAGAATAAAATACTGCAGTTTAAGAAAGGCTTTCTCATTGAAATGCAATTTTATGTTTACATTAATTTTTATTAAAGCCTTTTCTTGCCATGTATTGACTCGCATGTGAGGCGCTTGAACTAATAAAGCCTGTGTTGTGGAAGGCAGTTCAATTAGATATGTGTTTATCAAGTGGGACATATTTTCAATTAATCCATTACCTGTAAATTCTTTTGTAGATCTTCGCAAATGACATTGTAACTTTGCACTTACAACGTAAATATGTCAAGATCGTAAATCGAGCATCTGTCTGTTATTAATTTGCTCGTAAACTATGATGTTATTTTTAGCTAATAAATGTATTTAGCCATGTATCATTTTTTAGTCTGGTCAATTATAGTCTTCGTGTGTTTTGTGATGAAAGTGAAGGCAATATCTGAGAGGTATTTGTGCTTAGGTGAATGACGGACAACCAAGAGTGTAATTCAACAAAAGACAGACAATTCAGCATGAATTTAGGCTAAAAGTAGACAATTCAGCGACATTTCAAACGGACAGACAAAAAGGAGTTTTCGACACGTTCCTTATTTTGTGATGGAACGCCCCCTTAATTTGCCCCCTGTTTGCTTTTATTGTTTTTATTGGTTGATTGAGAAAGATGCATCTTAATTCATTTCAACTAAACTTCCAATTCATTAGTAGCAATGTCTTCAGTAATTCAGTGACGATTGATAAAATGGCAAGTGTGTGATTAAGCAATCACGAACTATAGTTCCTGAAATTATTATTTCAAAAGATTCTGTGTAACAATCTTACAATATTGGGAGATTGTAACACCTCAAATATTTTGAGGTATTCTCCAGAATCCAATCACAATTGGCAGTTTTACCCAAACTTTTGAGGATGCTCCCAAGCATGTGGAAATTTCAGGGGGTTTTGTGCAATTTTGAAAAAACTTTTCTTCAAAAATGCTCTAAAATGGACAAAATTTCCCCGAAATAGGGATCTGTTTTTAGTGAAAAAAAATCTTGCTTGCGTTTGTATACACATAGACACCATGTAAAAACCATATAAATCTCACCTGATCGTGCTTACGACTTGAAATATTTGATATTACTTAATCTTTCAGACATTTGTATCACACGAGTGTACATTCTGTTGCCATAGTTTATGCCATTTGGTTAGTTCAAACAAAGCATGGTACTCAGCCTTCTGTCTTCAGTAATAAGGATAGGGGGTCTACCGACCTATATTAATCTTTGCAGTTTGTAATACTGTGGAGGTCTAATCTCATTTTGAATATATCGACAGAAAATGCTGATATTACGTTTTCCGGTAGAGAATTCCAGTAATTCACTACTCGATGAGAGAAACCAAACTTCAGACGTAAACGATTTGATCTCAGTTTTTGAACTTTCTTCGAATATCCTCTCAAATTATCAGTCCTGGGCGGAAGTAAGTGGTAAGACATGTTAATATCAAGGTCATTGTTCAGTATACGATACCGTATTCTACGGTATGATAACGGAAATAAGTTAAAGTGTTTGAGTCTGTTTTCATAAGATAGACCAGATAGAGCATGTACCATCTTGGTCCCTCGTCGTTGGACTCTTTCCAGCATATCTGTTTCGTACTTGAAAGAAGGACTCGCTGCTTAAATCCAATATTCTAAATGTGATGGCACGAAAATCGGGTATAATAATCTAAACATTTCATCATCTAAATACTGGAAAGACCTACGCATAGACCATAACACCCTATAGCCTTTCACAGCAGCAGCAGCCTTACAGTGACTGGTGATTTTGAGATCACTGCTTAATATGACTCTTAAATCTTTATAGTTTCTTACCTTGGGTAGCACGAATCCACATATTTTGTAGTGATGCGATTCATCATAATTATTTATTTGCATCACTGCACTCTTGTTAGGATTTATTTCTAGTAACCACCTGTCCATGCATGCTACCAATGAGCTGAGATCTTTCCGTAATACTATCTATCCCACATACTGTGTATGGGTCTCCATATTTTCATATCATCAGAGAAGTGTAGAACGGATGATTTTGCTATAGTTGGTAATTCATTTACATAAAGTAAAAAGAAGAGTGGACCGAGGTTTGTACCTTGAGGAACTCCATTTTTCACAGGTACCCACGAAGAAAGAGCTCTATTTACCCTTTCCGTTTGTCTCCTGTCATGGAGAAAGTTACTTATCCAATCTACGACTGTATAATGGATTCCAAGACATTCCAGTTTGAAGTTAAGACCACAGTGGGAGACCTTATCGAAGGCCTTACCTAAATCTATGAAGATCACATCCATAGGAGTATTCCGATCTTTTGCAGCAGCCCAATCTTCTCTTGCAATGAGATTTGTGAAGCATGATAGGCCTCACCAAAAACAATTTTGTCCCCTGGAGAAAACATTATACTCTTCAACATAGTTAATAGCAGATATTCGAATTATTTTTTCAACAGTTTTACAACTGCACTAGTTAAGCTAACGGGATATAGTTACTACCTAAATCCCTACTCCTAGCCTTATGCACAGGACTTATTATTCCGCTTTTCCAGTCTCTGGACTGTCTCAGAGGCATGTCAAACAGTATCGCTAATGGTTCAGCAAGTACATCTGATATGGCTTTCATAATCCCAGAATGAATACCATCAGGACCACTGGACTTATCAGGTGCGAGATGCTGAAGTAGCCTCAAGGCAGTACCTTTCTCATTGACTACAGAGTTCATCAATGAGACGCCACAATCACAATGAATCGTTGGTCATTCTTCATTACTGATAGAGAACACTTTACTGAAATATTCCGATAAGGCTCCAGTTTCTTCGGTATCATTTCTTGACAAGATTAACGTATTAACAATATCAAAATCGATGGAATTCCATCACCTCTCTGAGTTCGCCTTTTTATATATGAGAATAACCGTTTCGGAACATATCTACAATACCTAAGCAAGTGTCTTTCATATGATCGTCTAGCCTAATTTATTAACGCTTTACAGGCATTCCTAATCTTACCATAACTTGGTCTGTATTGTTATAAGCCAGTAGAGATGAGCATATTCTAGCGCTTTTTCCTCCTTGTAGGAAGTTTCTTAACTCGTTTAGTTACCCATGGTGAACTGCTATTCGGTCTACGCGGTACCAGGTATGGTATGTACGAGGACGTAACTAAACTAAACTTACCTTTAAATACATACCTGTAGTGGCAATGGGCATTAATACGAGATATTGTAGGAAATAGACATTCAACACTTAACACGGAGAAAAACCCAACGATGAAGAGGGCAGGAAGAATGAATCGAATTAATTGTAATTGGTCGTACGGCTTTGCTCGGCCTTGCAGGTGTGGTCCCTTCTGAATGTCACCTTATATCTTTTATTCACATTAAATATATTGTTCTGTCTCTAGCCTAAGTTTGCTCTCTATCATTTGATGGTAATTGCTACGATGTGGTGAGTTGGTGTAGACGATGATGTGACTTCCACGTAAGATCTCATAGATTAGGCAGTTATATCATGACAAATCTACGATATTAGGATTAGGTATATTATTAGAGCAGTACTAATACCACAGTAAACCATAATTCTTCAGACCGTGCTTCTTCAACTGATGAGCTAGTATTTACAGACTAATCTATCTTAGCAGCTCACTCATGAATGGCTGATATGTTACCTATCCATACATTTAAGTGGGGTGTAACCTAACCGTATAACATGTCCCTAGTTCTAACCGTGAATGACAAAACAGCGTGATCGCTGTTCACTAACGGTGGAAGAATATTCAGGTCGACAATATCCTCAGTATCCTAAGTGATTACCAATTCCAACAGAGAAGAGCCTTGGTTTGCACCAGAACGTGTGGGTTCAGATACATGCTGTATTAATGCATGCTCCATTATTGTTATCAGGAACATACTTTCAAACGAGTTTATAGATCCTTCTGTGGTAATCTAAGCCCAACTAATATCATGTGCAATAAAGTCACCTATTATCAAGCATCCGTTGTCTGCACCTCATAGCTGAATGCGCCCTAAATTAAACTCATCAGCTAGGAAAATTGAGCTACGATAGATGACACCGAGCATGAGTGTACCACATCCGATAGCCAATTCACAGCTAGTGACTTCACAAGTACCGCTATCATGGGATGCGCTGGCTATGTATTAAAGGACGTCACCTCCCTTTCTACATCTATGTCTATCACTCCTGAGGTAATGGTATCTGAATAATTCTGGAGTAATGTCTAAGTCATGGACCAAACAAGTTTCTGTCACTGCTACAATCGGTGGCTTTGATCTGTCCACTAATGCTTCTAGTTCATAGAACATATCTCTTAGACCACGAGCATTGGCATATAAAACTTCTAAGTACAACGGCCTATCCACATAGGCCTTGGTAGCATTCGCTTCCAAGACCTGACTATCCGAAAACCCACTAGTCGGAGATTTTCCTCACCGTTTTTATGACGGGTTTCTAGTTCAGCTAGTTCTCTCTTCCTCTTTTTTCAATCTTCGAGAGACATATCAGTTCTAACTCGGATGTCGAAATTGTTGTAACAACGAGCGCTAGTTAACAGGAAATCCAGTTGCTTCTCCGATCCTCGGATTACATTATGGAGTCTGCATGGTCGGGGTTCAACATTGTCTTCAGTCCTCTTGCCTATCCTAACCAGTTTTTTGACCTGAACTGCCTTTTAGAGTTATCTGGTAAGATACTAGGAATATATATTCTCCCAGCTTCTCTAAATCATGAGCGTGTCTAATTTTGGGTCGTTTGACTACAGCTATTTACTCACAATGATATTCGATTAAATTCTTCTTCTCAGTCACGCCAGAGTGGGTTTCCCTCTTACTATCAGATTTTGATAGTGCATTTTGTGACTCACAATGGGAGTCCACCAGTGACTTGATAACCAACTGCATACTGATTACAGCTTTTTTCTTTTCGTTTCGTTTTCTCCGCACTGCAGTCCATTTTTCATCCCTCAGGACAGTGGGACTATTTGGAGCGGTGATGGTTTTATCCAGATCTTCAGTTTGCACTAGACGTGCATGGTTACCAATGTCAGTGTAAGGTGGTACTACCCCCCTCGTTAATGTTAACAGATATTTCATTTTTCCGTCAGTCAAAGTTGGTTGTTTAAGGCATCTCATAACAGCAGGCACTACACATCAACGCATGCTCAATCGTTCTTCATACAGGCCAAAGCCAATAGGCTCATAGCCTCCTGTATTAGTAACGTCTTATTTGCACGGCAAAACATGCAAAGCGAATGTGAGTTAGGCTTTCAACATCTTTTGTATGCAGTGGAACTTAAACGGGTGCACATCTTATGGAACCACTTTTTGCATTCATCACACTGCATTCCTTCCTCCACGGGGAACAAACAGTTTGGTTGTCTACATTTGTGAGTACTACCAATTATTTTAGTCAGATTAAGGTGTAAAACAGGATATGATCACAGTACGAACACAGTGTCAGTCAACGAGAAAAAGGGTACCACAAGACAAACTTTACCAAGATTTCAAATCTTAACTGAAATAGAGCAAGAACAAAGATTGGTGCAGAATAATATGAATTCATTTTATTTCGTTAGGTTCTCATCAGCTGCTTACAACCTAAATTATTTGAAAATTCAAATTATTACAGATATTGACATATTTACACATAAGAGTGTGATTAAGGATCAATACATGTGTATGATGATCTAGCAAGCAAAGATTCAGATAGAGTTAATGAGCTCATAAAATGTTTGATTCCAATAAATAAATAAAGTTTGAGAGGGAAAGTTCCGGAACATTGAAATAGTGATTAGAACTCATGAAAATAGATTAATGGTAATAAAGAAAATATGAATTGAGATCAATCATTTATGTATGATGTAATTTATATTTCAGAAAGAGTTGCAATAATGACGCAATAAATAAATAAATAGGAGCAAATGAATAGAAAGAGTGGGGGTTATTGTTACCAGGGTAAAGAAAGATTTATTACTGTCTCTTTTTGTATACATAGATCTGGTTTTAAGCGTTTGGTTGCTAACGCTTCAGCGAATTTCAAAAGGTTCGAGTTTGATTGTT